CCTATTAAATCATCCCCCTTGTCTCTCCGCCACTCCTAGATTCCTCTCCTCCCACCAAACTGCACATTTCACGATCTTCTTTTCAGGTTTTTCACTATATTAATAGCTAATAGGCTTTTAAGTTATTACAAACATTTGGTCTTCTCCACATCTGTGAAATTGTCCTCTGAAATAATGAAAATATTTAAGGCTGCGCTGTACCATGCTCAAGTTGCTTTGAGCAGCCTTCCTTATAAATTGCACCTTACATGTTAGTGTGCAAGCCAGCAGCTGAAATAGGAAAAGCAGCGAGTGGTGAGATGCCACTAAGGAATTTCAGATCCATATCAGAGGAAGGATATTCGTGTTTGATGTTTAGAACCAGCCAGGAGCTCAGTCTTGATGCACCCACGAGAATAAGCGTCTATTGCAGACAGAACATCTTGCTGAGCCGCCTGCATTACAGAAGGGTAAAAAGCCTTTTTTCACCGAGTTCCCCTGTGCCTTTCAGACGGCTTCACCCCCCTTATGATCGCCTCGTGCAGCGGAGGAGGGCTGGAGACCGGCAACAGCGAAGAGGAAGATGATGCTCCCGCCGTCATCTCGGATTTCATTTACCAAGGCGCCAGCTTACACAACCAGACTGACCGCACCGGCGAGACGGCGCTTCACCTGGCTGCCAGGGACTCCCGCTCCGACGCTGCCAAGCGCCTGCTGGAAGCCAGTGCGGATGCAAACATCCAGGATAACATGGGCAGGACGCCCCTCCACGCCGCCGTCTCTGCCGATGCCCAAGGAGTTTTCCAGGTAATCGATGCTTTCGCCGTCAGTCGCGGGGTTTTCTGGGGAAACAGTGGTGCGACGTGTTGTCAGTCACACACTGAGCTTGGCGCAGGGTCTCCAGCTTGTCCTGGCAAGGTGCAGCGTGAAAGTCTTGAAAATTGAAGCCCCCGTTGTCTCAGAGCAGGGCACAGCAAAGCAGCAACCCCCTAGCTGCCCTCGGATGTGCACCCCTGGGCTGGGAGCAGGGACTGGAGGGACCAGCCTCTGGAAATGGGGTTGCAGATCCTGACACCTGGGTGCCAGGGGTGTCTGCTGTCTGTCCCTCCTAACGGTTGTGTTTCCTGTGCTTGGATCCTTGTCGTGGCAGATCCTGATTAGGAACAGGGCAACCGACCTCGACGCCCGAATGCACGACGGGACCACTCCTCTGATCTTGGCCGCTCGCTTGGCTGTGGAGGGCATGCTGGACGATCTCATCAACTGCCACGCAGACGTCAATGCCGTGGATGATCTAGGTACTGCAGGCGACCAAAACACAAGCTCCCTCAGAGGTGGAAGGGAAGAGCTGCTTGCTCGTACTCTTACCACTCGCTAATGCGTGTTGTGTTTCATGGTCTTCCTCCATAGGCAAGTCGGCACTGCACTGGGCAGCTGCTGTGAACAACGTTGAAGCCGCAGTGGTCCTCCTGAAGAATGGTGCCAATAAGGACATGCAGAACAATAAGGTAGGAGTCTTCTGGGCTGACGTAGGCAAGGAAAGAGCCGTTTGGGGAGTCACTTAAAGGGTAATTTTTGCCTAAAATACAACGCTGTCTGGCACTGAGACTCTGATTGGATTGTTCTGCTGTGGATTAAGCTGTTGGATTTAGCTGGAAGAAGCATTGTGGGATTTGGTCCTATGGGTGATGTTGAGGGGCTGTGCGGTGCTTGGTGAGCACTATGATACAGTGTTAGTGTGGCCATCTTCTCTCATGTTCTGGGTCACTTGTAGGGTTTCTGGCTTGATACCAGTAGAAGGACGTGGCTCAGCAGGGTAGGAACAAGCAGCAGCAAAACCTCACCAAAGGAGAGATGATTACTGTCAGTGCCACCCAACTGCCTGGCGTTGGCCATGGAGCTCAGGATAGCGTTAGCCAGGAGAATCTGTGAACTTAAACCTAACCATCTTTGCTGGGTTTCTAGGAGGAGACCCCACTGTTCCTCGCAGCCCGAGAAGGGAGCTATGAAACCGCCAAGGTCCTGCTGGACCATTTTGCCAACCGCGACATCACGGACCACATGGACCGGCTCCCGCGGGACATCGCCCAGGAGCGCATGCACCACGACATCGTGAGGCTGCTGGACGAGTACAACCTGGTGCGGAGCCCACCGCTGCACAACGGCCCACTGGGGGCACCCACGCTGTCCCCACCGCTCTGCTCTCCCAACAGCTACATCGGCAACCTGAAACCTGCCGTCCAGGGCAAGAAGGCCAGGAAGCCGAGTACCAAGGGCCTGAGCTGCAACGGCAAGGATGCCAAAGACCTCAAAGCCCGGAGGAAAAAATCACAAGATGGAAAAGGATGTCTGCTTGACAACTCCAGCGTGTTGTCTCCAGTGGACTCCCTGGAATCGCCCCATGGGTACCTGTCGGATGTTGCCTCTCCTCCGCTGATGACCTCTCCATTTCAGCAGTCCCCTTCCATGCCTCTGAATCATCTGCCAGGCATGCCTGATGCCCACATGAGCATCAATCACCTCAACATGGCAGGGAAGCAGGATATGGCCATGGGAAACTCCAGCAGGATGGCCTTCGATTCGGTGCCACCGCGTCTCTCCCACCTCCCCGTCTCCAGCCCCAGCACGGTGATGAGCAATGCCCCGATGAACTTCTCCGTTGGCGGAGCAGCGGGTCTGAACGGGCAGTGTGACTGGCTCACCAGGCTGCAGAATGGCATGGTCCAGAATCAGTACAACCCCATGAGAGGCAACATGCAACCAGGGGCGCATCAGCAGACGCAAAACCTTCAACACGGCATGATGACCTCCCTGCACAACGGCTTGCCCACCACAAGCTTG